ACCTCAGGTGATCTGCTTACCTTGGCCTCCCAAAGTGATGGGATTACAGGCATAAGCCACCACCCCTGGCCCCGGTGTGACTTTTTAAAAGCATGTCCATTCATCTGCTCACTCAAGTCCACCCAGTACAGAGGAGTGTGGTGAGGCCTCTGCACTGCAGGGCTCAGGAGAATCAGGGCTTTGGAAACGCCAACTTTGCCTACATCACTAGCACCCCTGTGAAGCCTAGAGATACTAAACCTTGTGTTTCATCTTCACCAAAAGATATGAAGGGTACAGTGGACACTGGTCATCTTGGGCTGTCTGGCATTCATCCTCCCGCCTGGCTAAAGCACAGTGATCCCCTTTGGGAACCTTTACCTTCAACATGCATTCTTCATGGGAGGTGCTGTTGCCTCCCCTATGGAAGCCCAAAGACCAGAATCTCCCTCACTCCAGTGCAGGTGGGGTGGGGAGGGGCAGACCACAGGACCCTGGGCTGTTTTGGGGAGATGGAGGTCACTCCCCAGCCATGGTGGCACATGGACCAGACAGGCCTTGCCACTAACTTCTATGTGATGTCAGTGGCCTCCCCACTTCTGGAGCTCCCCCAGGTGCTGCCTGTGTTCCAAGCCAGTCTCCCAGCCTGGTGGCACCCCCCTTCTGATAGGTGCCCTTGGCTCATTCCTCACAATCAGGAATGCAGACTGGGCAATGGAGACAAATGGGCTGATGCAGAGAAGAGTATTTTTCATGGAAGTCCCAAACCCTCGCAGTGCTTCATTCAAACTGAGCTCTGAAATCTATTTTAAACTATTTTTAAAACACTCATTAAAACACTTAACAAGAACAGGTTACCCTTAGGGGACTCCTGACGGTGGGGTTAGGCCATAAGGAACCTTCTGGAGGGCTGATGACATTCTTCACCTCAATCTGTGTTGTGGTTTCAAGAGTAGAGGCATAGGACTGCAAAATTATGTGGATGTACTGGATGCCACTGATTGTACACTTAAAAATGCTTCTGGTGGCAAAAGTTATGTATATTTTATCGCAGTATAAAAAAGCACGATTTAAAACAGAATTCAAGATATTGCTTTAAAACGATTTCAAGAAACACCAGATTAAGCCAAAAAAGAAGAGTATAGGCATAAATTTAAAATCCATCAAGTTTTGCCCTCTTTACATATATGTGAGCTGCACCCTAATTAAAACAACAAAAAAATGCTGTTATATACCAAATTATACTACGCTGGCAACCCAAAGCTTTCCTAGTTATCTCAAGGTACCAGACAGCTCCTTTTCTACAGAACTCAAGACACAGCATCTCAAGCTTGAGCTGGATCCCGAAGTTTCAAGGCAGCTGTTGAAAATCTCTTAGCATTGGCAAGCATGCATCTATGTGACTCAGATTATTTTTCCATTCTGTGCAATCAAAACAAAATATGAAAAATCAACTGGATATTGGGATGAGAAAATCATAGAGATGGAATACAGATAAACGGGTGCCAGCAGTTAGGGAAGCGGAGGGTGGCAGGGGGTGGCTCTCAAGAGGCAGTCCGAGGGGGCATCTCAGCAGCCATGGAACCTTCCGTTCCTGATTGTCATGGTGGATGGACAAAGCGGCCCATGTAATAAGACGTCACAGAACTTTATACGAAAGCATACCAAAAGATGAGTGCATGCAGAAACCAGTAAAGCCTGATTAAGAGCTGTAGTCTAGTTCACTCTATCAGGTCCATCTATTTCCTGGTTCTGAGAGTGCACTGCAGTTACGTCAGATGTTACCACTGGACAAAGCTGGGTGATAGGTACAACAGACCTCTCTGTACTCTTTTGGCAATTATCGTGACTGTATAATTATTCAAAATAAAAACATTTTAAAGTCCATAAATAAATTGGATGCTGAGATCAATATACGACTGCCATAACCCCAGTTTTTATATTTTTCTGTTCATCAAATCATCCCATTGTTCTGACTGGTTTAATCATCTGTACAAGCAAAATATGACACATTAAAATAAATGTATACTAATAAAACACCATATAAGTTTAATTTTTTTAAAAAAGAAAAAAGGCACCTCCTCCTTTGGAGAAGCTGAAAATCACTGACGTATTAGAAAGAACATGCACTGGGGATCAGGAAATAGACTGGTTCTGCCCTCAGCTAACCAGCTGTCACATGAAGAACAATGACTCCACCCAGTCCTGACCATTAAAAGACTTTCTTGTTAAGGAAGTGAGACGTATGCACCTGGGAGGGGATATGAGGACATAAGATGCTCCCTAGTAACATGTGGCAAAGTATCAAATGAATAGTGCTATGGATTGACTTGTGTCCCCACAAAATTCTTATGTAGAAACCCTAACTCCCAATGTGACTATAGGTAGACAGAGGACCTTTACAAAGCCAATTAAGGCTGGCTGGGCACGGTGGCTCACGCCTGTAATCCCAGCACTCTGGGAGGCTGAGGCAGATGGATCATGAGATCAGGAGATCGACACCATCCTGGCAAACACAGTGAAACCCCATCTCTACTAAAATTACAAAAAAATTAGTCGGGCATGGTGGCAGGCACCTGTAGTCCCACCTACTCGGGAGGCTGAGGCAGGAGAATTGCTTGAACCCAGGAGGCAGAGGTTGCAGTGAGCCAAGATCGTGCCACTGCACTACAGCCTGGACCACAGAGCAAGACTATCTCAACAACAACAACAAAAGCTAATTAAGGTTATATGAGGTCACAGAGGTGGGGCTCTAGGCCAGTATGACTGGTGTCCTTGCAAGGAGGAGAGACAACAGGCAGGTGCACACACACAGGAAAGGCCACAAGAGGACACAGGAGAAGGCAGCCAGCTACAGCCAAGGGGAGAGGCCTCAGGAGAGGCCAGATCTGCCCACACTTGGATCTAGGACTTCTAGCCTCCAGATCTGTGAGACAACACATTTCTGTTGTTGAAGTCACTCAGTTTGTGTGGCATTTTGTTATGGCAGCCCAAGCAAACCAATAAAAAGTAGTATGGTGATGTGGCTTAGGAAAGGAGAAGATGCTTGATTTGAAGCAGCTACCTGCTCTTCACCAGGGGCCTGAACACAGGATATAATCACAATTAATGGCATATTCCCATCAAAAGAGAAAACTTTTATATATTCAAAAGAAACTGAAAGCTAGTTATAAATCCTATGGAAGAAAACCACACCATTGGATACATGATTTTAACGAACACTGGAATTGGAATCCCTTCACCTGCATGCATGCATTCATTCATTCATTCATTCCTTCATTCAGTTCTTCTTCATTTAATCAACCAACCAACAGGAGTGACCAAGCCTCTCAATCCAGTGCCAGGTGCTGAAGAACACACAGCTTGGAGGCCAGAGCTGGGCTCTGTGTTGCTCAGGGGCTTCCAGGGGAGAAGTACAGGCAAGGGCTACACGATTGAGAGATTGTGTCTCCACGGGGCAAGCCAGGAAGCAGGAGGAGCACGGAGCAGATGCGCCCTGGACAGGGGTACTGTGGCCATGCCTGACCCATGAACCCCGGGAAAGAGCAGCCACTCCTAGAAACAGCACATGCCTGGCAGCCCTGTTGACAGACAGAGGTCAGTCCGCATAAGCCTCCATGGCCCCAACCTGACCTGGGCCTGTGTCAGCCAGCCCTCCAGGGAAGCATACTTCACATGGCCTTTGGCTAGCAATTCCCTCATGGAGACAGCCCCCAAATAACAAAGCAGGAGGAGTTGGCTGGTTGCTTCTTGACACCTCGCTCTCAGATCTGTTTAGAGGACCGATTAAGTGTAATACATTAAAAATCATTTTGTAAACTCTAAAATGTGACATGAATGGTAGCTATCATTAGATTTTGAAGGGTCTTGTGAGTCACCTAATCCAAAGTGATCATTTGACGGATTAAGAAACCAGAGTGGAGACACACCCAAGGCCACCCAGCTGGCACGTGGCAGAGCCAGAACAAAAGTTTGGGATTACTCACTGCTGGGGCTCCACAAGAAGCTCTGGTGTTCAACATGTGAATTTCATAACATTATATATTTTTCACACCTATACTGTTTTCTTCGATTTTACAATTCTAAATCGTGAAATTGTGAATTCTGAAATGATTCACAATTTTGATTCTGGTAAAGCAATACTATATTTCGACCTCCTGATGAACAAAGGTTTGTGTTATGGCAGGCAAAACTGGAAACACCCTGGGCATTGTGCCTGTATTAACCAAACACTGTGTTCCTACACTCAAGAATGGTTTCCATTTGAAATCCATGAGAAGTCAAGAGCAAACTAGACATAACTGAGGACAGGAGACAAAGGAAAATGGCAGGTGAAGGGGAAGGTGAGGGAGGGGAAGGTGAGGGAGGGAAAGTTAGAGTCGGAGGGGAAGGTAGAGGGGGAGAGGAAGGTAGAGGGGGAGGGGAAGGTAGAGGGGGAGGGGAGGGGAAAGGGAAAGTAGAGGGGGAGGGGAAGGTGGGGGGGAGGGGAAGGTGAGGGAAGGAAAGGGAAAGGAGGAAGGGAAGGGGAAGAAGGAAAGGAGGTTTTCTCAGCACTGTATGCCATTTTCAGTGCTGTCTTTAGTCACTAAAAAGCAAGGAGCCTGGCACCAAGGTAAAGGGTAAAGCTCAATAAAGGTTATTTGCATGCATGAGAACAAACTGCTAAGCTTCCATCTCATGATCACAGCTGTGTAACTTAGTGGGTTGCCTCTCCCACCTGGGTGACCAAAATGCTCAGAGCCAAATGCACCCCCAACTGCAGACCCCTTCGAACAGCCTGGTGGCTCTTCCCCTTATTGTCACTCCTCATAGCTTCTTCATCTAGATGCCTTCTGCCATAAATAACTTCAAAACATTTCAGGAAAATAGTAAAAGGAAAGTCAAAGACCAACTTACAAGAAGGAAGGCAACAGAATGTGCAGTGCTTGTTTGAGGACAGCTCTTCCACTGTGATCAAGAAGTCTCCAGATTGTCCCAGGGTGTATCAGCCCCTTAGATTATTATTTCAACTCTAAACTTACCAACAGTGTCACACGGTTCATCTTTGTGTACACAGAAATCTGTCCTAAAAAAAAAAAAAGCCATTATCAGGTTGCTGCAGTATCCCCAAGACTGGAAGAAGAAAACACTGTCAATTAACCTCAAGTAGTCATCCTGCAATGTGATTATTCCAGTGGTCACAGGCCACAGTGAATGATAACAAACAGCAGCGTTTGGCAACAGTAACCCATCCACACTTCCCAGGGGTAGGTCCACTTACCCCACATGAGAATCTTCTTTTACAGATGAACTATTCTATACATAACAGTTGCTGGAAGGACTCCTTTCAGCAGCTGAAAATGTTTTGGAAGATGTTTGCCAAATCACCGATCAGAGACAATTCTCAGACAATAGTATCCAACTGCAGTGGCTTCCCCAAGCTACTCTACTTGGGTAGTCACTGGTTTTTGATGCTATAATGACCATGTATCACTTTAACGAGAAGACAACAAAAAGTCATCTCTAAAAACTGTATTCCTCTACTATGCAGCCATAAAAAGGAATGAGATCATGTTCTTTGCAGAGACATGGATGGAGCTGGAGGCCATTATCCTCAGCAAACTAACGCAGGAACAGAAAAGCAAACACCACATGTTCTCACTTGTAAGTGGGAGCTGAATGATGAGAACACATGGACACATGGTTGTACACACACACCAGGGTCAGCCGGGTGAGGGAGGCTCAGGGAGAGGGAGAGCATGAGGAAGAATAGCTAACGGATGCCAGGCTTAATATCTAGGTGATGGGTTGATCTGTGCTGCAAACCACCATGGCTCATGCTTACCTATGTAAAGAACCTGCACATCCTGCACATGTAACCCAGAACTTAAAAGTTGAAGGATAAAACACTGTAGTCCTTAAAGCTCCCCAGGATCCCCTGGGTGGGTGGGCATCTGTGGACCAGTGAGACAGCAAAGATGGTTGAAACCTGGTCCAGCCCTGGTTCTGCAGGTACAAGGGGTTCATCTGGCTTCCTGTGGGGAAGTCAGGGGTCTGGGCTCTTCTTTCCTAATGCTGGAGCATTCCTATGGTTCTTTATAAGTTCCATGGTCAGGGGTCGACCACGGAGGGTTGGCTGGGGCAGGACTCAGCCTGGAAGCCGGGTGAGGAGCCACAACCTGGCCCAGACATGGCCCCTCCCAGGCCCCACACCCATCTTCTCTCAGGGCCCAAAGAACGCTTGAGAGCCACACGTTTCATAACTTCACTCCAAAACCAAAGGAACTTTCACGGAAATGGAGAAGGAATATCATAAAGAGATGAAAAGGCCTAGTGACTCGATTTTTCCATCAGACTCCATTTTAGAAGATGAAGGAATAGGCGACAGAAGCAACACTGGCAGAGGGGAAACCAAATAAAATTAGGGGCATAGGTGTTCTCACTGGCCCAATACCTACCTAGCCCCAGCCCAACATTCAGCACCCTTCCCAATTCTGGTGTTTTGAGCGGCACACGCATGCGCGCACACACACACATTCATACAAAGACCAGGCTGGCCCAGGACCTCGCTCCAGGGTTTCTCAGAGTTGTGAACAGTATATGTTTAAAGCTTTGCCCCATTGCCTCAGCTGGGCAAAGGGAGAAAGGAACCCAGGCCTCAATCTGACAGAAGAGAAATGAAGCTGCTGGCCAAGGCCAAGGCGGGCGCCATTTTGCAGAGAGCCAGCCCTCTGGCTGAGGAGGACTCCACCTCCGCGCATTCTCCGATCTAATGGCCACCCTGAGGGGAAACAGGCAGTCTCGAATGACAGACCCCGAGGCACCACCCCCTGCTTCACCCGAGGAAGAGGTGTGTTCAGCTCAGGGAGGGAGAGCTACACTCAGAGGCCTGTCTTGAAAAGGTCAGCCGAATCTGAATCTCTATCCTTCCCGTTCAAGGTCCTTTCTCAGAAGAGAAGCAGCCACCTGCCTGCAGGGGCGGCTTTATCTCCAGGGAACCTGGCTTTGTTCCATTCATTATCAGGGGCATCCACTTTTTATGTCATCCCACTGCCAACTCATGTCAAACCGCCAAGCAGGGACTGTAGCCTTCACTTCAGGAACGAAAAAAGTGAGGGCTAGACTCGGCTCCCAGTCCCGACAGCCACTGAAACTCCAAGGTGCATTCCTCGAGGCTGATGTGGATCCGCATGACAGGGCTGGCTTTGTGGGTGTCTGATCCATGCCCTGGGCTAACGCTCTGCTGTCGTAGGGTCCCATATTTTCATTTTGCATGGGGCACCACAAGTTACACAGGTCGTCCTGTGCATAACTCACAGTCAGGCACACAGTTGGGACTCAATAAATTCTTTTATTAATTGACTGACGTTTCCAGACCCTTTCAAGGGGCCCTGCAAGCTACCCAGCAGCCATGGCCTCACCAGCATTGGAAGCCTGGGAGCATAACACCAAGTTCCACGGACATTTACTAGGACCTCACCACGTGCAAAGCCTGGCAAGAGGGTCCCTTGGCAGAAGGTGAAGGGAAGGGTGCCCCGAGGAGTTAGATGGTATTACGCTGGAGGGGAAGGTCTGGCCAGAGGGATCCTGGTGGTGCAGCTTTGGGCCAGCTGTGTCTGCCGTGGCGCCTTTCAGGCACTCTCACCCAGAGCACAGGCCCAGGCTCAAGGAGGAGTTCTTGACTCCAGGGAGGAGGTCTCTGCGTTCTCGGCTTTCTGGGTCAGATGTGGAGCCCAAGGTGAAGCCCTCCTAGGTGCTGAGGCCCCCTGAGCCCTGGCCTCTGTGTGGGCTCCGTGTGGCCCCAGGCCCAGTCCACTCAGGGGTCCTTCCTAGTCCCAGCCACAGCTGCAGAAAACCCAGCTTCCACCGCTTCTGGCTCAGCAGCTCCTGCTGGACATGACGTCATCCTCACATTCTCCACAGCAGCCACTTAGCCACCTGTTTGTCAGGGAATGTCTGGGAGAATACACGGTCCAGCTTGGTAACAGCCCGGAAGGTAAAAAAAGAACCTTAAATGGGAGGAAACCCTCACATTGGCCAGTCCTAGCTCAGGACCTGGAAGCTGTCCCCTGAGCACAGCCAGGCCTGTGCAGCCTCAGCTCGGGTTACAGTGGGAGGAAAGGACAGCTTCTCTAGGGCGGCAGCTGCCTCGCACCCAATCTCCTTGTGAAAACATCAGCCCGTTATTATCTCAACCTAGGGAATTGCAGCTCTTTACCTCTAGTCATTAAACAAGGATTTCTGGCCAACTCAGCTTCCTGCCCGACTCCAGAGCTGCCTCCCCGGTCCTTGAAGGAGATCCTCAATTTAACATCTGCGAGGACCCAGAAGACAGGACATGCACTGATCTGTTCAGTCCAGCAGCTCCACAGCAGCAGGTGAGAGGGACTGTGATTGCTCACGTAGCTTCAAGGCATCAGCCCAAAATGCAGAAGAAAGCTCAAGCTCCTGGGCTGGCAACAGGTAGCAGCTATGCAAGAGGCCAATCCTTTCCTCATCCAGAGCCCAGCAGCCTGCGGCTGACGAAACCTTGTTTTCTCTGTCCCTGGATGAAGACACTGCCCATGCCCCCAGCATCCTCACCCAGAACCACTCCCATGCAATTAGGATCCCTCTCCGATGTGTTTAGTTAGAACAGAACATTTTTACTCTGAATTTTTTTTATTGTGCTACATGAACATAAAATTTACTATCTTAACCATTGAGTGTAAAGCTCAGTAATGTTAATTAAATTCACACTGTCATGCAACCATCACCACTATCCACCTCCAAAACTTTTCCATCATCCCACACTGAAACTCTGCACCCATGAAATAACTCCCCATTCTCCCTTCTCCCCAGACTCTGGCAACCACCATTCTTTGTCTCTAGGAATCCGACTACTGTAAGTACCTCATGTAAGTGGAATCATGCAGTATTTGTCCTTGAGGTTCATCCATGTCATAGCATGTGTCACAATCTCCTTCCTTTTTAAGGCTGAGTAATATTCCCTTGTGCATATATAGCATATTTGTTTACCCATTCATCCATCGATGGACATATAGGTCACTCCCACCTTTTGGCTGTCATGAATAATGTTGCTATGAACATGAGTGTTCAAATATCAGAGTCTCTGCTTTCAATTATTTTGAATTTCAGTTCTTTTGGGTTCAGAAGTGGGATCATATGGTAACTCTAGTTTTGAGTTTTTGAGGAACCATCATCTGGTTTTCTGTTGTGGCTGTACTATTTTACATTCCCACCAATGGTGCACAAAAGAGTTCCAATTTCTCCACATTCTTCCAACACTTGTTATTTTCCATTGTTCTGTGTATTAGTCCATTTTCACACCGCTGACAAAGACATACCCAAGAATGGGCAATTTACAAAAGAAAGAGGTTTAATGGGCTTACAGTTCCACGTGGCTGGGGAGGCCTCACAATCATGGTGGAAGGCGAAAGGCACGTCTCACATGGCAGCAGACAGTAAGAGAGCTTGTGTAGGGAAACACCCCCTTATACAATCAGATCTTGTGAGACTTCTTCACGATCCCGAGAACAGCACAAGAAAGACCTGCCCCCATGATGCAATTACCTCCCACCAGGTCCCTCCCACAATACATGGGAATTCAAGATGAGATTTGGGTGGGGACACAGCAAAACTGTATCATTTTGTTTTACAGTAGCCACTGTAAAAAGTGCAAGGTGTAGAAAAGAACATTTTTACACAAAATATTTCCTCTGTGGTAAGTGAGAAGGGCGAAAAATGAAAAGAAAGTCTAACTCACAGCATCTTTGCACTGAGGGTGCGTCATGACTGCCGAGGTCTCTTTGTAAAAGGGCTAATACAGATGTCTTGTCAACAGTCATCTTGGTGACATTTATTGCCTCTGAAAAAAATGCCATTCATCCCCAAATGCCGACTACTTACAAGTGCTTTCTCCACTCAATGAAAGGAAATAGCGGGAAAGAGAAAACTTCTTCCAATATAGAGAAAATTAACATAAGCTATTAAGTTTTTTTAACAAAACACCAGAAATTATAGATTTTCTATAGTATTTATAAAAACTATTTTCAAAGTAGAAACCTTGGGAGTTTAGCTGCATATTCCACAGATGATGTTGTTTAGAGTTCCTCTCTAGGAAAGTCTTTTAGACCAAATATAATTACCATTTGGAAAATCAGCTCCATTTACTTATGATCATGCACAGACACGGTTCCCAAGGACTCCTCCTTGCTCCCCAAGTCAAATCCACTCTCAAATCATGGTACCCTTAACCTGAATGCTGTGACACCTGGGGTATCCTACAGAAAGTCTCACAGCCCCCAAATGCTATTGCAGAGTGCCTCGAGCAACAGCGGCCTCTGGCCAGTGAGTGTGGGCAGCCACTGCTCTTGGGGAAGGCGCCCAGTGCTCACTGGAGTGGGCAAGTCCAGGTCAAAAGCATGAACCAGGTCATGTTCATCCCTTGGTCCCTGATGCCTGATACTGCATTAGCCATGTTACAGACAATCAGAATTATTAAACAGACTTTTTCTAAAACGTCTCTTCAATAATTCTGATTGTCTATGATACAACTTATATATGGATTATATATTTAATCATATCCTGTAGAAGCATCAAGTGTTCTCCTAAGGGATTGGCACAGTATAAAGCACACTGTTAAATGTGTAACAAAGCATACTGAGGGCTGGCAATCGATGAACTATCCACAGGAGTGAGCAGGCATCTATTTGGTAAGGGGTGGTGGCCTTGTGTCTGTTGTAGGAATTTTTTTTGTTTTTTTGAGACAGAGTTTTGCTCTTGTCACCCAGGCTGGAGTGCAATGGCATGATCTCAGCTCACTGTAACCTCTGCCTCCTGGGTTCAAGCAATTCTCCTGCCTCAGCCTCCCAAGTAGCTGGGATTACAAGTGTACACCACCACACTCAGCTAATTTTTGTATTTTTAGTAGATATGGGGTTTTTTAATGTTGGCCAAGCTGGTCTCGGACTACTGACCTCAGGTGATCTGCCCACCTCAGCCTCCCAAAGTGCTGGGATTACAGGCGTGAGCCACTGTGCCTGGCCTATTCTGGGATTTTTGAAAAGAATGAAAGCTGCACTGTCCGGTGTCTGGGGCTGGGGTCCCAGAACTTCCCCAGATGACTGAGACGTCATGGGGCTCAGAATTTGTAGCACATGGCCTGAGAAATGCAACCAAAAGCCTTTCTTGACTCAAAACCAAATGTTAAGTGAGATTTAACTCTTTGTGGAGGGCCAGGCGTGGTGGCTCACACCTGTAATCCTAGCACTTTGGGAGGTCGAGGCAGGTAGATCACCTGAGGTCAGGGGTTCCAGACCAGCCTGGCCAACATGGTGAAACCCCTCTCTGATAAAAATACAAAAATTAGCCGGGTGTGGTGGCACATGCCTGTAAATCCCAGCTACTCAGGAGGCTGAGGCAGGAGAATCGCTTGCACCCAGGAGGCAGAGGTTGCAGACAGTCAAGATTGCATCACACTGCACTTGAGCCTGGGCAACAGAGGAGACTCTGTCTCAAAAAACAAAACACAAGAAACAAAATAAAAAATCCTTTTTGTGGAGAAACAAACTGCCCCCAAGCTAAAGATATGATAAAATTCTCCTTTCTATAACGTTATGTCCAAATTCACAGAGGAAAAGCAAGCATGCAGTTTGGGAAGTAGTTTCTTTAAATTAAAAAAAGTCATTAAAATTCAAAGTTGACATATTCTTAGCAACTCTAATAAAAAGCTGGTATTTTTAATCTAATGGATTAAGTTACTAAGGAATATTTCTGTGTATTTTGTAAAGGGAGAGTTTTGGCATGAACATGTAACACATTTTGTTTACATTATTAAAGTAAAGCAACCAAAGAAAAATCAGTGTTCCTCAAAGAGGGTTGAAACATAAAAAAAAAATGATATAGCCACATCGACGTCAACGACATACAATAGTTGTATCCCCCAAAAAGAAATGGTCCAAGTCCTGACCCTCAGTACCTGTGAATGTGACCCTTCGTAGAAAAAGGGTCACTGCAGGTGGAACCAAGGTAAGATACGGTCACACTGGAGTAAGGTGAGCCCAAATCCTATGACTGTCATCTTTATAGGAAGAGGGAAGTCTGGACAGAGAGACACGCAGGGAGAACACCATGTGACAATGGAGGGACAAAGAGGGACACAGCTACATGCCCAGGCATCGTACTTCCCTCAAAGGTGGATACCACCGTTAACCCCCACTTACTAATGAGGAAACCAAAGCCCAGACAGGTGGCCCAAGGTCTGATTTCCAAGCCTGAATTCTTAACAACATGCCTATTTCCTCTCTGAAGGGAAACATCTCTTCCCTTTCGCATGTCAGCTACAAGCCAAATCCCATCTTACCTGGTCACAAACACAGCAGCATCCACCAGGGGCGGGTCGTCCTTCCCGCCAGGAACCTGGTTATTCCCGAGGTACCGCGCTCCTCCATACTCCTCGTTCTGCCAGTGACAGAAGCTCTCCAGGGACCGCTCACCATGGTGCCCAATGGACAACTTAGCCTAAAAGAAATCGGGACAGTTAGAGACACAAACGCCTGGGAGGCCAGAGTTTATATCCAGACTATGGTAAGGACGTTAAGGTGGAGGCAGTCACTCACTGAGACATCATTTGATGACTCACTGCCCTCGAAGAAAAGCCTGATGCCAGTGGGTATATGGCATAGATCCAGAGAGACCATCAGGGGCCTTATATATAGGTGCAAATGAAGACTATGTTGTTTTTTAAAAAGTTTCTTATTTTCTGCAAACAGAACAGCATCCCAAACCATGCAATGCTCCCTCAGTCTCATGGCGATGGCTTGACTTGGCAGGTAACATCAGCGTGTGGGAAGGTGCGCCATTGAAAGACCAGAAAATAATGCTGCTGTGAACCCAAACTGGGGTCAAAGCTCTAATGTAGTTTCAGAAGGGAAGCCACGATGCCAGAGACCTCGTCATCCAGCTTTTGCACATATCCTAGAGACTCCATACAAGACCCTCCAGGAGTGGAGGGGGATGCATGTGGGCTCCCTGCTTAGGGTTCCTTGAGATTCTCAGCAGCCCACCCTCACACCATGCTTCCAGTACTGATGCTGGCTTTCCTCTCACACTGGCAAAGCCACAGAGGGTGACGGACACCAGCAACGACCTGGAGCCCCGCTTAGCATTCAACAGCAACTAGGAAGCTCCAGGTCAGCCACATTTTCTGCATGCTTGAAAGGTGCCTGTGGGACTTACGGGACGTTGTCGTAGCAGGACAAGCTTGGTCACTTGAATGTTAATTTTAATCCCCAGGCTCTGGTGCTGAAACATATTGTATACCTATCAAGACAGAAAAAAGAAATAAAGATATAAAGATTAAAAAATGTTAAAAATACAGTAGTATCCTGAATGGGAACTTGGGACACAGAAAAGAGATTATGTAAAAATAAGGAAATAGAAATAAAGCGTAGACTTTAGTTTATAACACTGCATCAGTACTGGTGCATTAATTACAACAAACATGCCATTCTAATATGAGAGGCTCATCATGGGGAAACTATGTATGGCAGTTCTCTGTACTAACTGATCAATTTTTCTGTACATCTAAAATTATTCTAAAATACAAATTCCATTCATAAAAAAATTTAAAAATCAATATTAAAAATATAGGTTGTATTCTTCCAGTACTAAAAAAAAAACTAAAGAATAATTACGTGAAATTCAAATGTCAGTGTCCATACATAAAGTCCTATTGGAACGAAAAATACATATGTGAGAAACATAACCCAGATTTTATTTTAAAAGTTGTCCAGGAAAGCCAAAAATGTCCTTAAAAATGGATTTGCCAAAAGAAAAATGTAGATAAGAGAAACCTCTAGAATCATACACATGTATGCAAACATACATCTACAGTATGCTTATGTATATGTATAAAGCTAAGCTGGAAATAGTTGGTTAAAAAACACACACACACACATAGGAAAGGTGGTTTTGAAAAAAAGAAAAAAAGATCCTTAAAAATGGATTTGCCAAAAGAAAAATGTATATAAGAGAAACCTCTAGAATCATACACATGTGTGCAAACATACATATACAGTATGCTTATGTATATGTATAAAGCTAAGCTGGAAATAGTTGATTAAAAAAACACACACACACATAGGAAAGGTGGTTTTGAAAAAAAGAAAGGGCAGAAGGCTGAAAACTTCCATTCTGGGCTTTCATGCCTGGGGTTTAAGGGGACCTGCATGAAGGGGCTGGGGGAGACAGATGCCTGCTGCTGAACGCCAGCCTGTGTCACTGCTAATCCTTGCCACATCCCACCAAGGTGGGCATCTCCACCACTCTCAGCTGGGAAACAGGGAAATCAGTTCATTGAGGTAAAGCCACCTGTGTGAGACCCACAGTCAGTCACAATGGTTTGATTCAAACTCAGCCCTGTCCAGCCAAAAGGTCTACATTCCTTCTTTATTTCCTCAAGTCCCATTGTAACCAAAGTTTGTCACTGAAATAAACTGCAGTAACAGAAAAGGACCTATCTTTCTTAATTTTGCATATCTTGTTGCAGAACTTCATCGTAAGGACCTCAACATCAAGCAGTCACAGGAAAGTGCTTCAAGAGGAAGAGAAGGGAAACCTGGAATAAGGCGAAGGAGTCAAAGTTGACGTAGATGGAAAAAGCCCACTGCAGCTGACGAGCCCCAGGTCATTATGACTCTGCCGAGTTCCTTTTCCGTAACGCGGAGAAAGCAGGATTGCGAGAGGTACGTGAATAGCGTACTAAAGGCGGTGGCAGTTGGAAGGTGTGGAGGGAACAAGAAGGAGAATCTTTTGAATATTCTACTTGGTTTTTATCTATAGACATAACCCAGGAGGGAGAATTTTCTAGCAGGAACATTAAAACTTTCTCCAGCTGGTGCTGTGTTCACGCTATCAATACACCAGCAGCAGCAGCAGCAAGCGACGAGCATGGTAGACAGCATCGCCAGGGTCAACTCAGGCCAAGCGGAGCCGCTCAACACGGCCGCACCCAGCCCACAAGTGCTAGAAGCCAGGCACGCAGTGTTTGAGCATCTCCGCGACAAAGGAATCAGCTGTGTCACTGCTTGAATTTTACTCTTTGAAAACCATTATTACAGTTAAAAAAAAAACAAAAAAAAAAAAACAAAAACCTATCTTTGTGTGACGTAATATTCCTTCACACAAGGAAAAATAGAACACATCCAGTTGTTCTGTTCTCACTTTTGTTATTTTCAAAATCTCCTTTCCTCAAGAACTAGCTGTCGTTTTCTTAATACTGGACCATCCACAAGCCAGTTCTGAAGTCATGCATTTATTACCTATCTCCAAGCCTGGGAGAGGAAGGGGGAGGCCTAACTTGTTCCTGTTTTGATAGTTCCAGAACCATCCAATGGCTGTAATTCAAATCTTCCCTAAAATATTCAGCATCAGAATTGGGTCTAAACTGGTAAATTTCAGCTCAAAACATGAAAATTAGGAAGAATGAAAACCTGAAGTTATGAGGGAGAAAATTCAAGTTGCACAGTGTTCATTGAAATTGCACAGCACAGTCTAAACACTGTCTGTCACGTCAACCCCAGTCAAAACCAAAAACATTAAGGAATACTACAGATTTAAAGAAGTAACATGAGAAAGTAATCCTCAGTGATATTCTGATATGCCACAAAAGGAAAAACTGCAGGGAACAGTGCAAGTTTCAGGAAGAACAAAACCGTAGGAACAAGCTCCCCTGTCAAAATCACCCATCTTCTCCTTGGCGGGCTGATGACAGTTCAGAGCCACGTGCACTCCATACACCATTAGCCCAAAGCTCAGTCACCTCCCTTAGAACAAATGCCACTAAAAAGATGGGAGATGGAAGGGGGATGCGAAAGTTTCGTGCTCCAGGGGCCGCGGGGGAGGCAAAAATGGGAAGGTGTTTAATGGGTACAGAGTTTCAGTTTTGCAAGATAAAAAAGCTGTAGAGATCGATTGCACAACAACGTGAACATAAGAATACTGAGCCACACAGTTAAAAATGGCTAAGATGGTAAATTTCATGTTAACTGTATTTTACTACAATCAAAAGTACAAAGTTAACTCATTAAAAAAATTAAGCTTCATGCTCTAAATAATGTTCTTTAGCAAGCCTTGTAAGAAGACATGTCCTCTTGACATGTAACTAGGGCACTGACATCCAAGAGAGCAGGTACCAAAGCCTGCGCACAGCTCAAGCACTTTGTCACCTGCCAGGTGCTGACCACAGACTCTGACAAAGCTCAGAGCACAGGGCAAGGCGCACTTTCAGAATCTCCCTTGAGGTCCTGTGCCAAGCCAGGCGAGCCAGATGAAAATCCGATGACAGCCACAAAACACAAGGTACAAGCCTCAAAGACATGTAACAAAGTCTCTGCTTTTTTTTTTCCCATGGAAACTCATGCTCAGGAGAAGTCTTCGAGGCAATGGCTACATGATGTTTAGGGAGACACCTGGTTGGGGCGGGAACAGCACAGCCAAGCGTCTGGAAATTTTGTCTCCGGCGTCCAGCTCTGGCTGCGTCCCAGCAAGTGTTCAGCCCTGGCTGTGTTTGTCACATTTCCTTGGCAGCCTAGGGGCCCAGCAGAGTGGACCTGCTGCCAGCAGCACACTATGGCTTCTCTGGCTAGGCAATGTGGGGACACAGTAAGGGGGGGGCAGACAGGGACCATAGAAGGAGCCGTGGTTGGAGGCACAAGGAGAGGAGCTGCTCACCACACCAGGCTGGGCTTCACAAGGGCACCACCTGCCTGTATAACCCAAGGCCTCCCTAGAGCCAGATAGGGACTTGTGGGTGACACTCTTAGGTTGCATACACCGCTATTAAGACCCCCAAACAGGAGAAAGCTATGTTCTGTAGCACAGTGTCTGAGTGGGGTCCCCAAAGCAGCAGCACCGACGTTACCTGGACACTTGTTGGAAACGCACATTCTGGAGTCCACCCCAGCCCCCACTGAATCAGAGACCCTGGGGTTGGGCAGGCCATCTGTGTTGAACAATGCCCCTTCCCCACCCTGCTCTAGGGCCTCCACCCCCACTGGAGTGTGGGAACCAGAGTGCTCTAGCATGATGCTAGTCTTGCTGGTCACCAGAGAGAGGCTTGTTGTCTCTTTCACATGGTAATTTAGTAAAATTGATGTCATTTTCCCTCGAAACAGAACTTGCCTGGAACAGCTCAGGTTTTTCATTCCATTTCATGGTCGTTAAGGAAGCTAAGAACAACCAAAGCTCTGTCAAGCGGCCCCATTTTCCAATTTGGCTGCCCACACCCACGGTTTCTGGTATCAGCACCACCTGTTTCCGTCTGCAATTTGTTCTTTAAAATATTCCTGCTCCTGTGTCACCGCCATCCCAACGAAAGGAGAATCACGTGATATACACAGGAAGCACCACAGCACATCCGGAAAACCCGCAACAGTGGGACCAGAGCACCGCTCTGCAGCTTGGGTCAGCTCGGGCGACCGGCTCAATGGAGGCTTCACCTCCACACGTACCTGCACAGGTGAGTGGTTTGCCAGGGACACAGAGCCAGGAGCCGAACTCCATTCCCCCAGGTAAGAGGCAGGCAGAAGCATATTTTAAAACACTAACCAGACCACATCACTCTTCTGCTTAAGCCCATGCAGCAGCTTCCCACTGCCTGGAACAAAGCTGCTCTCCACACCCTGGTGTCCCCGCCTGCGACGTCGGCCTGTCCGCGTCTCACTGTGCCCCCACCACCCTCCCCATCACACACAAGCAACCGGCTATTTCTGTGCTTCTCCAATGCCAGCCTGACCACCACTGGCTGGCTGCTTATGTTGGCTTAACACCTTCCCCTCTAAGACCACCTCACTCCTCTCAGAGAGATGACCCTGAAACCTCTGTCACTGCTGTCACCTGGTTCTCTGCATAGCACTTACCATGCTCTGGTTTTCCTTCTCACTAATGTGCATGTTGAATGCTGCCTGTCATTCCTACAACATGAGCTCCGTGAGGATGAGACCTCTAGTGGTCCCTACTCTATCCCAGGAGAGGACACAAGGGTCCTTAGCACACACTAAGTGTGTCAATTGTTTTTATATTTCTGGTGAAACAAATATAACATAAAATTTACCATCTCAACTATTTTTAAGTGTACAACCATGTACTGAACTGTAGTGTTCATTACATTCATGTTGTTGTACAATTAACCTCCAGAACGCTTTTCATCCTCCAACACTGACGCTTTATACTCATGAAACACTAACTCCCTGTCCCCCCAATCCCACCCTCATTCTATGACTTGGATACTGCAGTTACCTCATGTAAGCAGAATCATTTAG